GGGCTGGGCGACTTGAAAGGACGGCATTGTTTTCTTCGTCGGCGTTATTTTTGTTTTTGATGTTTCGCCTTGCTGGTTTTCATTTTGACTCTCTGTATTTGTCGTATTTTCCTGTTTAGTACAGCTGGAAATACCTTCAGTGAGACAAAAAGCTGGCCTAATGCTGACAACATGGAACGAAGGTTTTTCATGGAGGTGTGTCAGCACACGAACTAATACGTGCTGCAGGAGATCGCAGATTGTGGCGAGGCATAATCGCCCATGCCAGCCGGCAAAGCACATGATGATGATGATTCACTATTCGTATTCGGCCGAATAGTTGATCCAGCTATTGTATTCGGTACAGCCCTAATTATAAAGAAGTCAAAGCTTTGTGTTTCCGTAGGAAAATAGTCAGGTTTTAACTAATATCATAGAAAGATATAAAACAGAACGAAAAGTTGATCCAGGTGGCGTTGATAGTCATGTCTGTCCACAGCCTTCTGTCCTGTGTACTTTATCAACTCTGACACAGATGATCCTCCATGCCATAAGGTAAAACTGTCCTGCTGTCACGATGTTCTCCAGTTTTCTCCTTCTCATCACCTGATCATGATCAAAGTATATAGATTGTCTCTTACTGATGTTCGTTTATCGGTTGATGTATAGACAGGACTTTGCTTTGGAAAATACTAACAGTAGGTTGCATTTCCTTCTGTGAGAGAAGTGCCAACACTGGCAGGCTGTCCTGTCCATTGTACCTTACATTAACCATTCTGCTTGTGTTTATCACTTCTAGGGCGTCATACGACACGCGAGTCTTCAATCTGCGAATTTAGGGCTACATAGCTAGTGCAGTCGCGACGAACTGTGTTTGCTCGGAGTTTTAATTTTACTCACTGCAGAAAATGGAAATGTTTGTCACCTTAACGAGAATTCGACCCCGGATCTATTACTTAGAGCTGAACTCTAACCGCTCGACCAGCCACTCCGACCGCAACCAACGGAATGAAAATGACATGACAGTAACATAATCATCTCCCTGACTTGACATAAACTGACATCGCAGATCTTCATAGGATAGAGGTTTAAATCCGAACATAGAATGTTTCCATGTACGAGATATTTGTGGACTTACCCCAGCCTTCTGTCCCCGCCGAACATGGCATGCATATTGAGAAGATCACACTATCGTAACTTGCAGATCCAGTTACACAACATGGGCCAGACGTCTGCGTGCTGTTTAATTCTCCCACAAACACAGACTGCGACAAGGCGAGGTAGTCAAACCATTGCTGCACGATCTCCTGCAGGTTTTGTTTGATCTGGTAAGCATGTTTGGTTTACACCTGCCTCTACCCAAGTTGTTAGACATCTGGATTTGTCTCATAGCTCTGTTGCGGCGTGTTCCGGTGTTTTTCCCGGTTATAATATTTCATATGAAAGTCACGTTCGTGTATGTGAATGTGACACTCGTGAATTTAAAATGTCGCTTACATCAGAATCTGTCAATTTCGGTTGTATAGCAAAGGTGTGAGCTACGTGATCTTGAGGCATGGTGTCCGCCTTGTGTGCTAGAGGGTCCGGGTTCAATGCCTGCTAAGGGCTGAGATTTTTTCACGTGGACTTGGACTTCTAGTAATTCCACGTGGTCTCTGTGTAGTGAGATCGGACGCCCGTGTGTATTGTTGCGCACGTAAAAATCCCTTGGTAGTTGGAAATCGAAATGACTAGCCTAACGGCGCTGCACATGCAAAATTTTGAGTTAAAAATCTACCAAAAGTATTTAAGGATCCTCGCCGGTGCCACAGAGCCTGTGCACTGTGCTGAGCTTCTTCGGACTCAGACTTGTTGGAAGAAAAACTATGCATTTATGGGCTACTACCCGTGTGCCATGATGTTAATTAATCCGTTGCTCAAAAACCTCACTAAGGTCGTGTACGGGCCACGGTGGTGTAGTGGTTAGACGCTCTCATGTTGATCCCTATGTCGTGTGTTCAGATCCTCACGGAGTCGGACCTTTTTTTTTTTTTAAAGACCATCGCTCCGAGGTCGACCTAGCCTGAAATGGGTACACGGTAAAGTCCTGGAAAGTAAAGGCGGTCGGCCTGATGCTGACCACATCATCCACTAAGTGCCGATTGTTCTGTAAATTATAGATGTAGCTCTATTTGCCCGAAACGCCTGAAGGTGTGGGAAAGGTTCTTTTTACTAAGGTCATATCATGGCTGCTCCCCCTTGTTCTGATTTCTCTAAATTGTAATGACAATTTAACGCTCTTTGAACTATACAAGAATTTCTTCAGCTCGGACTAAGCCAAAAGTGTTATTTCAGCTCCAAAACATACCATGATAACGTTATTTGAGCTTAAGCCATGCCAGGAAAATTCTACTTCAAGCTATCAAAGTAAACTGTTACTTCAACCCAAGCCATATTAGGAGAATGTTACCTCAACTCAAACCATCAAAGGAAACTGTTACGTCAATTTAGACACTGCCAGGAAGTTCTTACACGAACTCAAGAAATGTCAGGAAAATGTTAGAACAATTTCACTTTCTTCAGCCAAGCCAGGAAAATGTTACTCACTCGAACCATGTTAAAAAAATATTACTTCTACTCAAGCTAAAACAGGAAAATGTTACTTCAACCAAAGTCATGCCATGAAAATGTTACTTAAACTCAAGCCTTTCAACGGAAACTGGTTCTGCCAGGAAACGTGAACTCAAGCCATGTCAGGAAAATGTTACTTACTTAAGCTATGCTCGACAAAACCAGCCCCAGTAATTTAAAGCTGTAACGTTTTGTGTGAAGTCCATGCAGAAATGGCAAACTTCTGGACGCAAAAATTTGCCTGGAAAAACCAAAACAGCCCAAAACAAAATTCTGGGGTTGGTTCTGCAACTTCCTGTAAAGGATGCGCAACCAACTTTTACCCTAACTACGATATCCATAGTACCGAGCCAAAGGGTTAAGAACTTATGGTTTCCAAATATCTGAAGAAAAAAAAACCCAACTACGAAGCAGAGGTTGCCATCTCTGCGTTGGAATGTACAGTCCTAGCAAACGGTGTTAGGGCACACGTTAAATGGTTCTTAGGAACCGACAGTTGCCTACACACAAGCCGTATATAGCTCTCTCTCTCTCTCTCTCTCTCTCTCTCTCTCTCTCTCTCTCTCTCTCTCTCTCTCTCTCTCTCTCTCTCTCTCTATCGCGCGCTCTCTCTCTCTCTCTCTCTCTCGCCCTCTCTTTCTCTCTCTCTCTCAATCTCTCTCTCTTTCTCTCTCTCTCTTTCTCTCTCTCTCTCTCTCTCTCTCTCTCTCTCTCTCTCTCTCTCTCTCTCTCTCTCTCTCCCTCCCTCCTCTCCTCTCCTTCTGCAGAGCCGGTGGTCAGCCACCGAGAGCGTCAAACTGAGCAGGAACTCCATAGATTCAACCACGACCCTGAATCTACCAAGCATTAGTTAGTGATCGCGAACTGAACAAGAAGAATCTCAAAGCCGCACACACTGCTTGTTGAGCCTAAAGGAAACGACGCATCATCTACTTCACCTCAAAAACCCACCATTAATAGGATTTAGTTAAGCAAATCCGTGGGAAAGTAACAAAATGAGCTGATGTTGTTTTGTTAACGGAGATTCCATTTGACACTTCTCCGTCATTTAACGGAGACTCCATTTAACACCTGTCTGCGGGGCAGTTAAACCATGTCTACACGATGGGCAAATGTCAATACTAGACGTTCACACAGGAAAGTACTCTTTGAAATTGTTCCTATTTTCTGTGACAACATTCCCGGCAATGTGTGAATCTGGTTCATCACCTCACGCCGCTCAAGCAAATATTTCAAGCTCTGGGTGAGGTTGTGTGTGTTTGTGTGTGTGTGTGTGTATGCCCGTGGTTGTGTGTGTGGGTGAGGTTGTGTGTTTGTGTAGTTGTGTGTGTGTGTGAGGTTGTGTGTGTGTGTGTGAGGTTGTGTGTGTTAGGTTGTGTGTGTGTGCGCGTGGTTTTGTGTGGGTTAGGTTGTGTTTGTTTGCGCGTGGTTGTGTGTGTGGGTGAGGTTATGTGTGGGTGAGGTTGTGTGTGTGTGAGGATGTGTGTGTGTTTGAGGTTGTGTGTGTGCGGTTGTGTGTGTGTGTGTCATTCAACCAAATTAGGCCCGTACAACGAGCGAAAAACGCCTGGTGACACAAAGTGCAACCATTCGGATGAGGATTACCCGGGAACCAGTCCCAGAAACCCCGTTCAACCTTTAGGTTATATTAGGGCCCCGGACTGCAGACCGGGTGTAGCTTTCAGATAACGAAAAATTGCTTCCCACATGTCTGGTTGGGGAATTCACCTGTGGAGCTGGACTGGACGGCGGACGTTTGGTCAGCCATTTTAAGTCTCGCAGGATGTGAATTTTAGATATGAATCCGTTCAGCCTTTATTCACGGGCTTCAGCTCTGAATCTGTTCATTCATCATTCATGGACTTCAAAGAGGAATCATTCACCATTCAATCTAGACCTTACATAAAAGCCATCGGTGTATGTATTCTATGAAATCATGCTTGTCCCCATTATTATAAGATACAAACTGAAACATTCGGTGACAGCCCGGAAACCTTGAGGGAAACAGAGATAGCGAAGACAACGAGAAAAGTTTTTTAGCAGTCTTCTGTCGTAGTATGGAGGAGTGGGTGGATGTCAGCACAGGAAATGATACATGCTATTGTAGACTGCAGATATGGAGCAGCAGAGCCTGTGCGCTGTACTAAGCTTCTTCGGACTCAGAATTGAAATAGAAGTGGAGCACTTAGGGGTTACATCCCTGTGCCATTGTAGTGATCCGTTGTTCAAAACCACGAAACCCCATCGAACAAAACTGTACCGGCTACGGCCTGCACTAGAGAAGTACTTACTGGACAACACTAAGCTCTTGTCGCCGGTAGGGTTGAGGGCGTCTGTGACCTCTCCGCTGAAGAGAATGATGCCCACGTGAATCTCATCTTCGCTGATGTTCATAGGCGTCAGCAGTTTGATGATCGACAGCTTCTGCTGCTCGAAGTTGTCGGCGCCCATGCTGTTGGAGCCGTCGATAGCCACGATTAGGTCCATGTTGGTTACGCATTCTGTGCACCAGATCAATAAATACCAGATACAGAATGTCGAAGCCAATAAATACGAGACAAATCAGCAGGAGACAATAAAAACGAGATAAATAAATGCAAGACAAGTAAATATGAGATGAGTAAATAAGAGACGGAAAACTACAAGACAAATAAATGCCAAACAAATATACGAAATGAAAAAATAGAAGAGAAATAAATGCGAGATAAAGAAATCTGAGATAAACAAATACGAGAGGAATAAATACGAAGCAAATTAATGTCAGATAAATCAATATAATTTCAATAAATAGAAGGAAATAAATAGGTTTGGTAGTTTGTCATTGCTGGCTCAGCGGTCGGCTTTATTCCACTGTCGAAACAAACGCAATGGCGAAAACTTGCCTGCAGCTGGGGTTGAACTCAGCACCCCGGCTTTACAAAGCAAAAATTTAACTTACAATATTGTGTTCTAACGTCAAATCAGTTTTGCTGCATGGGACTAAAACAGAGAGAACAACTAAAACGAGCACTAATATACTACAAATATTCGTTGTCTGTGCTTGCACAGAGGGAACTAAATCGTATAATAGAATCACTAGCATGGAACTTTGGGAGAGTACTAAACAAATTCCAATGAATAATGAGGTGAAGAAAAGAGGCTGGCATTGGATAGGACACACGTTAAGAAAACCTGACAACAATATAACTAAAATGTATCGACTAGAAGCCACAGAGGCGTAGAAATAAAGGCCATGGTAGATTGGGGGAGGAAGAGATGAGGGCAGATAGGGAGGGACGTTTAAAAGATAAGTATGTGGCGGTCTCTACTAACCAAATAAAATGACAGTATATCTTGAAAACCACACACACACACACACACGCACAGGCCACACACTCACGCTGCTGATATGTTGATCTTATGTTGTATAAAGTGACAGTATGTCTGGAAAACTACACACAAACACACACACAGGCCAGACACTCACGCTGCTGATATGTTGATCTTATGTTGTATAAAGTGACAGTATGTCTGCAAAACTACACACAAACACACACACGGGCCAGACACTCACGCTGCTGATATGTTGATCTTATGTTGTATAAAGTGACAGTATGTCTGGAAAACTACACACACACACACACACGGGCCACACACTCACGCTGCTGATATGTTGATCTTATGTTGTATAAAGTGACAGTATGTCTGGAAAACTACACAAACACACACACAGGCCACACACTCACGCTGCTGATATGTTGATCGTATGTTGAGAGCCAGCACTGAGAGGAAAATAGCGATCATTGCTCCTGTACTCATGTTTGTTCCGTTGCCAAGATTCTTTGCTTCTTTTTTTTATTTGCACACGTGATGACTTCTTAATTTTGTCGGCTGCTGCACGGTTTGATGTTTCTGCTAGTTGCTATGGTTACTGATCTTAATTCTGTAGAATAAAATGCAGAAAAGAAATTAGGCATGTCACAATTAGGGGTGATTGCAGCCGATGTCAAGAAGCTACGAAAAAAATCATGATCTATGTTTAAAAAGCTCAAAGGAAGGAAATCAAAAGACTGACAAAAGTACAACAGAACGTTCCGACCAAAGTGTTTAAATGGTGCTGGCTCCAGTGGAAATCTGAATATGTACCTGTGTGGGTCTTTAACCTCACAACCCCCTACCCCTCTCCCACCCCACCCCCCCCCACACACACACGCACACACACACACGCAAATCACACAAATATATGTAAAAAACCTCGTCACGCTTACGTGTTTGATTAATTCATATATCGACTTCAAAAGCTGTTTTTTAATTTATGGTGTTTATCATTCACAGTTTGAAGTTAAAGAATCAAATATGATAGAACCTGACATATTTCTTAGGATGTTCCACAATTTTTGATGTTAAATACTGCACAACTCCCCGTACTTGGGGCACCGGATTCATGCCTTCCCTCCACCAACCCTGCCACCGCCCCCCCCCCCCCTTTCTCCCCTTCTTTCCCCCTCTTCCCTTTACATCCCTAAGAAGAAAATAAAAAATTAAGGGCAGGGTCCTCAGGCAACCTGAGCTCCCAGGTTCCGCCGCCTTTGTAAACAACTTCCCACATTTGCCTCCATCACCCCAAACAGTCTTCCTGACCCCGACTTAATATATCTAGCCAGGAAACAAGTTAAATTTTCCTGGCAACACAAATACTTAAACACGAAGAGCTGGCTTACTGTTATTCTAAGTTTGGGCAGACGCAGAGATGGTTAGTTGCGTATCCTGTACAGGACGTTGCAGAACCAACCCCAACAGCCCCTGGCTGTTGTGTGGTTTTTCTAGGCAAATTTACGTCTAGTAATTTGCCATTACTTCCTGGACGGTCGGCTTTCTTGATACCACTGTCGAAACCAACGCGAGGCGCATGGCCCGCAGCTGGGATCGAACCTGGCATCCCGGCATTACGAAGCGTTCGCATCGACTTAGCCACAGAGCCGACTGACGCAGAGATGACAGTATGATTAAAGGTAGACTGGTATCACTGGTAATTCCATCAGAAGCCGTGTGAAGTCGATGGTTATATATTTGAAATAAACCGCCATCAATGAAGCGATAACGCTAATTGAGGGGGGAGGAGGGGGGGGGGGGGGTTCAGGTTCCAACGACTATCAATGTTTTTCTTGCTAAATATATATCTCCTTTTATCTTGTGCTTGAGGAAAACCTCCCAGTGAAAATAAGCGCAATTTTTTCACATGTTAGTTATGCAACCCCAAGTTGCCCGTTGATACTTGCAACAATGTTTTCACAGGGACCTGTCCTAAGTACCTGCTCTCTTGTTCACAATTACTGCCCATGTCATTGTTCCTTCGGCTCAGGTTGGTACGCTGTGTTGTTGTTTACAGCTAGGCTTGATAACAGCGCCTTTGAGCCCAACACATCCGATTTCCTGGCGTTTTTTCTTTTTAGTCGTGTTGTACAGCGTGAGCTTTAATGGGTTTTTAGTCTGTCTTGTCCCCCCCCCCCCCCACTCCCCCCTCCCTACACACACACACACACACACACACCCTTTTTTTAAATTTATATAAATTGTTATCACTTTTTTTTTTTAATTTGTCGTAAATGAAATCTATCCACACACACACACACACACAAAGAATCCTTCAAATGAAATAGTATTCAATGGATGTGAACTGATATGTTCTAAAATGCGAGAAAAGAAACCGAACAATATCATATATTCACTTCTGCTTACAAACCTTTTTCGGAAACTTGGAATTACCGGTTTAATGTTTTGGGGGTTTTATCCCCTTCAAATTTTTATGAATGAAAGTGTATCCGACCTTTTGAATAACCCTCTATGTTGGATATCACACAGAAGATTGTACACACAGATGAACTAAGTATAGTCTGGCGCTTGTCTGCCGGTCCAAAGTCCTAGGCAGTGTTTTATATTTGACCCAATATTTCAGGTCGGATATGGGTAACAGGATATATACCAGAAAGTAAAGGCGATCTGCCTGATGTTGACACTATCATCCACCCAGTTTAGCATAATATACCCGATAGGGGATCTCTGTGGCCAAGTAGTCAAATCGTTTGTCTCGCGCTCTGGTGGTCGTGGGTTCCTTTCACGGCTGCGCCTTTCAGTTCACGGGTGCAATTTTTACGGAGACCCCTGGGAATCGTCGCCGGTGCTACGGAGCTCTTGCTTTGTTTAGCGCTCTCGGCAGGCGGCTAGCCGATCTGTAGAGAAAGACCGAGCCACACGGGAAAAAACCCCGTGCAACGAAGTCGTTCATCTCGACTTTAACTTTAACTTGCAACATATACCCGATACGAAAATGGCGTCACAATTGACCCTTTTTACCTGTAACAGGTGTTATTTGTTGTCCGTATGGACATCCTACTAATCGCTGAGACCCATCCGTCCTCAGATGCAGCAGACATCTTTATGTCCCCGTGATCATTGCATCCAGCAGGAGTTGACTGGCGTCTCCAATGATCACTGTGTCCAATAAGAGTTGACTGGCGTCTCCAATGATCACTGTGTCCAATAAGAGTTGACTGGCGTCTCCAATGATCACTGTGTCCAGTAAGAGTTGACTGGCGTCTCCAATGATCACTGTGTCCAGTAAGAGTTGACTGGCGTCTCCAATGATCATTGTGTCCAGTAGGAGTTGACTGGCGTCTCCAATGATCACTGTGTCCAGTAAGAGTTGACTGGCGTCTCCAATGATCACTGTGTCCAATAAGAGTTGACTGGCGTCTCCAATGATCACTGTGTCCAATAAGAGTTGACTGGCGTCTCCAATGATCACTGTGTCCAATAAGAGTTGACTGGCGTCTCCAATGATCACTGTGTCCAATAAGAGTTGACTGGCGTCTCCAATGATCACTGTGTCCAATAAGAGTTGACTGGCGTCTCCAATGATCACTGTGTCCAATAAGAGTTGACTGGCGTCTCCAATGATCACTGTGTCCAATAAGAGTTGACTGGCGTCTCCAATGATCACTGTGTCCAATAAGAGTTGACTGGCGTCTCCAATGATCACTGTGTCCAGTAAGAGTTGACTGGCGTCTCCAATGATCACTGTGTCATGTAGGAGTTGACTGGCGTCTCCAAGGATCACTGTGTCCAGTAAGAGTTGACTGGCGTCTCCAATGATCGCTTTGTCCAGTAAGAGTTGACTGGCGTCTCCAATGATCGCTGTGTCCAGTAAGAGTTGACTGGCGTCTCCAATGATCGCTGTGTCCAGAAGAGTTGACTGGCAAATCTTGTTTCTTTGCTTCCCCAACCGCCTTCTGCATTCCTGTCCTTGTTGAACACCCGCTTTCAAAATGGAGTTCATTGCCTCTGACTACTTTGTCTCCATGTCTCTGGAACGCAGCGCATTCAGCTTGTCTGCCCCATCTATACATCTCCATGAACCACTGCAGACACAGCCAGTCTGTCGGCTCTTTCATTTCCCTTTACCCCGTCCTTCCCAGGTGTGTACAGCCAAGATAGTTCGGACTTTTAGCTGCTGTCAACCCAT